ACAGCTATATGGGTGCATGAGTCATTTCCTCTCTTTCATTGCTCTCTGTATGACAAACTGCTTTTAAGTTTATGGAATCTTGATCCTATTCTCAATGGGTGGCAATAAATAACATCCTGAACTACTTATTAATTTGCAAATCATGAGTCAAACAAACAACAGATTTGCTTTACATTAGAACAAGAGCAGATGACATGTCCACACGTAACACCTTTATCTTAACCACAATACACAAAAAGAAGGGTGGTTGTATCAAATACATATGCACAGTAAATGTTCTGTAAGAAAGGAGAGCCACTGTCAAATGTCTAAGACACTCTATGACCTCATCCAATTCCCACTGGAGAAAAGGGAGGCTCCTATAACATAATGGCAGTTGACTTTGACTACTCTAAGGAGCAGAACCCTTAGTACAAATACACTATCTTGAAGCGTGAATATCTTTCTGGGTCACATTTATGTAACAACTGGCTAACAAATCCACAGCAGACTGGTTAGAGATGGGTAACTGTATAATGGATGCATTCATCAACAAGTCAGATTCCTCCATGCATATGCATGGGTGTACATAAACACATATGCACAAAATGAGGATAAACTGAATTCTACTGTCTTGAGGAAGAATAGGAGTAGCTAGCCATAACACAGTTAAAAGGACATGTTAAGAATTTACATTTGGGATTTGCCCAAAGATAACTGTAAGGAAATTCAAAACACTATTTTTTAAAACAAATGTCATCAATAACTTTGATCTGATATATATATTTAGCCTGTCCCAAAGCCTCTATTTCCATTATACAACCAAAATGCTCCTGACAATTTTGTAAAGCACGATTATAAACTGGATCGGGAACAATTTTATTTAGCAAAATATTAGGTGTTGACAATTAAGGTAAATTGGAAGTCATTTTAGTTGTGCCCCATTATATGGCTCCAGCTGCAATGGAGCTAATATGTTGTGTTTTATGAAAAAAATGTCCTATTATTTTATTGAATGTTAACTCTACTTTGAGAATGTACTTTAGAGAGGACTTAGCACCTCTGGACTTCCAGCTCCTCAATCAGGAGGAAAAATGAAATCTGCTCTAGTGGATTGCTGGGTTCCTTCTACTTAAACCAACAGTGGGCAATTACCAGCCCGTGGGCACTTTATTTACCTGTTTCACAGGTATGGCCACTTGAAGCTCCTGTTGGCCTCAATCACTATTCCCAGCCAATGGGAGCTGTTCGAAGCAGCATGGACCAAGACACTGCTTCTTGCAGCTCCCATTGGCTGGGAATGGCGATCTGTGGCCAACAGGTGCTTCAAGCAGCCTTACCTATAGAGGCACAAGTAAATAAAGTGTTGGCTGCTTGCCAGAGGCTAACACTGGCGAACCAGATCCGGCTTATTGCCAATCTCTGACTTAAACCAAAGAGGAACACCAAAAATCCAACTCTTTAGTGATGTTCTTTATACTAGCATCTGTTTATTTTCAGAGGCTACAACTTAAAGGTATAGATCAACCTCTACTTTATGCTATGTGACCTCAGAGAAAACTGTAAATCACGAAATAATCATTGCTATAGCTGTGCATGGAGAATTCTCCCCCGTTGTTTTGGTAAGAGACACTCTTCTCCTGCCCCCTAAGCACAAGAAGAGTATCTTAATCCCTTTTTGCAAAAAGTGGCCTATGGTATTGATTGTTAAAAAGTCCATTGGAAAGACACCACTAATAGATACATTTTTTTCATTTAAATCTACAGATTAAAATAAGTAGTGGAATGCTCAATCAACACAAAGGGAAAGTCATGATAATATGTGAGTTTATATATTGCTCCTAATGAACGATCAAGGTAGACACACACATCTACCTCTGTTGAGGTCAATAGCAAGATTTGTTATCCCAAACGGGGTAACAAATGATGAAATCCATTTCAGAGTAAGTTAACATTTATATTATTACATTCAGTCTGAATGTTTTCTTTAGAAATCTCTCTATTTTGCACACAATACGAGTGTAAATCATTTTCAGGTGAATTTCAAAAGGTATAATTTTTGAAGCCCTAGAAAGGTAAGTGATTCAAATTACTGAAGAGAATGTCTCCATACCTGGACTCTCTCACAACTGTTAAAATCTGCTGAGGTGGTCTTGTGCCTAGAACACAAATGTCCAGTATTACCAGCAGTATGTTTTCATATGATGATTTTCTACTTTCCATTGTGTTCCTACTGATGGCCATCAGACCCCAAGTGTTATGAACTTTGTGGAAAAGTGGCTGTTTTGGTCTGATATGGCTTTTAATTAATTTGTGATATTTTACTTTTTGAAGGCAGATGATTTGTTTGGGTAGGTCTGGGGCAATGATGTGTTTTGTGAGTTGCACCAGTAAAAGAATTTTTAAATGTAAAATATAATGTACTTAGGCTATGAACATGAAACAAAACTATTAAAAGTCAGGATTTTTCTTATAGGCAGTATCTCTCAGTAATAACTGGTATAGCACGTCTGCGTGCATACTCATATGTTTAGGTAACACTTCAGTAAAGAAATTAATACACTTTTAATTGGTTTAGGATTCCTCTCAAAATTCACTTTTGTCAGGAAACTCCTATATTACAAGGGGCAATATTCATATGTGTATAAATACTACATGAATTTTCATCTTCTAACTACTGGGTCAGGCATCAACTGAGTAGGTGGAGCTTTGTCTGAATGAAACCCTAATGAGTACTCTTCCAAAATTCACATGACCACCACAGTTCAAGATTTTTTCCTGTAGATATATTTGTGTATCTCCCCTTCTCCATATCTTTTTTGGGAAAGGTGGTCCCTGCTTGTGTTTCTTTATATACATCTCCCCTACTTCCCAGGCCTAATATACAAATCCTAATTGTGCTTGGAGATAAAGTGAATCTATCTGTTTGACTAGTTTTATCTGCCATGACACGTGCTTGGAAATGAGAAAACTTATGGAGCTGTAGTAGATGCACTAGATAACTTGCAGTTTTCCTCTCCGTGTGCAAGGGCTTTAAGGAATTTCTTCCAGGCCTGGCCAACAAAGCCTGATTTTTTTATTTATTTGTGTGTGTGTGTGTGTTGGGGAAGAGGGGGAATACATTTTATTCCATTAAAAATACTCAGAGATAATCCCCTACAAACAACAAAGGAAGCCAGTTCATTCTCTTAGTAATGAAGCTGAGACAAGGACTGTGGGCAACAGGAAACTATTTTTGGTAAGAACTATATTGATTTGTATTTTTGGTATATAAAGAGTAAACTATCATCCCTTGGGGTAGAAAAGTGACCGCCACTGAAAACTAATGTCCTCAGCCACTGTTGACTAATTTTTGAATCTGTGATGTAATACTTTCCCACTGTAATTCTTAAATCCTCAGTCTCAAATTCTCCAAGTCCATATATCATCAATCACGATTGAATCTCCTTGTAGACACTTCAGTTTCTGTTGTAGTCATGATTAAGGTTTAAAACAGCAATTTCCATTACATTCCTATACCAGATCATCCATCCATCTCAAGCTCTGAAAGACTGAGCATGTATAGGTCTTATTAGGAAAATATATTGCTGCTGCAAACCTCATCTCTGAGTTCTTCTCCTCTGCCCTTTAACTAAAATACTAGAGGTGACCAACATCCACAAGGGAAACAATACCACCAACAGCAGGGTCCAGGCAGATCAACTGAACAAAAGGGCTACAATCAGACACTGGCATGTTGTATGATAGCAAATCAAAGCATACTGGGCTTGAGCCAAACTGGGAGAGGAAAGTGTGGTAGGTTAGGATAATTTACTCCCAAATCCCAAGGGGAAAAAAGAAGAGCATTTCAGCCAAACCTCCCCCTGATGTGGCTATTTTAAGTTTCCAGTTTCTTGCAGGAAAAAAAATGCCAAGAAGCTTCTTGGAGTCTGGGCCCCTTAGAGGGTGATTGGGAAGCAGAGCATGAGGGAGAGAGAGTTTAAGGTGCTCACACCAAAGCCATGTTACCAATGCAAAAGGAGTCAGGAAAATTAATATTTTATAATAAATAACCATCCAAGCTGCATTAGTGTTCCAGATATGTATGCATCATGACCCCCCTCCCAACCACAAACCAACAAAAATGGGAAGTTAAAAATCATCCAGACAGCTGATAGCACAGCCTCTTTGAACTGCGGAGAGAGGTTTTTATGCTGATTTAAGGCCCACATTCTTTGTATTTTCTAGATAAATGCACAGGATCCACGCCCCAGTCCTAAATCCATCAGAGAACAGATAATACAGTGTAGAGGGCATCGTCAGAATACACTTTGACAAAAAAGGTTCTTGTTAAATTTAACTTTCAAGAGTGCATGGAGGTGACTTGGATTTTTCAGACCAAGTACAAGTATTATAGCTACAGCTTTTCCTGCCCTCTTACTTGGCTGAATGCAAGACCCATGGAACTGATATTTCCTTTGGTAGAAACTATAGTCAATGCTATGGTCTCTAGACCAACATAGTGGGTAACCAGCATCTCTCTTCAACTTCTCTCCCTCCCTGAATCATACCCATCTCAACTTTTTACTACTCCAAAGCTGTTAGTATGGACAATTTATATTCTGTATTATTCATAGTCTTAAAATCTTCTGTGCTGACTGAAGTCAGAGACTTCAGTCAACCAGAATATTTAGATTTGTTTAACTGGTAGGGTGGAAGGGTGGGGGACCACTTGGATTAGTAATCACCCGACATTGCCATTCTATTTACATACCAAAAACAAACAACCAACCCCCCCTCGTTTAAAATCAAGTTCAGAGTCTGCCCCAAGGATAATAAACAAATTATCAACCTCCCCCCAAAAAAGATTAAAACAAGCAGCAACTTTTATATAAAATTAATAAAAAACAAGACAAATGAAAAAGAAATTGTCAGTAGCATCTATCGCCTCTCTGCGTCTGAACTGCACTTATACAAACTAGTCCATTAGTACAGCAGCTTGCTAGAAATTGACTTTGGTTCAAGCTTAGTTTTAAAAAACAAAAACAAAAAATAAAAAACACATTAAAACAGTGGACGGACATTTGTTAGTCTCCCTGCTTGCAGTTCACTAGTTTTGAAATTTTATGGATAATTGGTTTAAATAATCTATGTAACTAACAGGAAGGTGAAGAGAGAGAGAGAGAGATGAACAGAGAAAAACGTAAGTGAGGGAAAGAAGAGATCAGAGTTTCTGCCATTTAAATATAAATGTAAATCTCACACATTTGGGTCACAGACCAAAGCGTATGTTGGATTTAAGTTGCTGTCTTTGATCTCAGGTGGTGAGAGATTCTATCCCCACCAATTATCAGCAAATGTGAACATAACTACATAAACTTGATATTTTGCAACTCTTTGCTGACACCCCCACCCGCACACTGCAACAAAGAACAAACCCGCAAAACCTACAGAAGGTGCTCGCAACACCCTCCCTAGCTGAATGTGTAGATGTTTTAAACCCATGGCAGAAACTTTTAAATCCAACAGGAATGGAAAGTTCAAAGTGAACTGCACTGCAGAGATCCAGTCTTCTCTTTTTAGAAATCTTTTTGGTTCAGATAATTGATTGGCATATTAAAGAATATGCCACTACTCTCTGGATAACCTACTATTCTTCCCCAACTATTCTCATAAACTCTCTGTTCTCAAATGCCCCTTGCTATATGGATTGGAAACACAGCTACAGCAGCAAGACAACTCTGAGTCTCTAGTCAGAGATGCTATTGCCATGCTGATCAAGGGAGCAACATCACTCCTCAGAGACCACATGAGAATACCAAGATGTGTGCAAAGTCCCAGTGTTGACTAGATAGACTGGTGCTATTTCCCACATCAGGTTGGACCATTCCAGCTGATTGGTCACTGTCTCCTATTTCCAAAGCACCTAGCACTGTAGTGGATAAAAAAACCTACGAGCTATTTAAAACAGAACAAGGACGCAAGGAAGCCAAGCGCTTTCTTGCAGTTGTGATATAGGAAAGAAGACAGCAACTTCTGTTTCAATAGACCTGCCATCTATTCCTGTAGACAGAAGTGCCAGTGGAAAATTGTTTCAATACAGACCACTGTACACAAGGACTATTCCTCTGAATAGAGAAGCCAGTTTTATCTTTCAAAATCCTGTGCCAAATAAGCTGGTAGAAAGCTTGGACGGGGGATGCCTTTAAATATTATTGATACTGGCACTCTCAGGTAACTTTGCATTTCTAGGATATATTTTTAAAAGGGACAAAATGTTAACAATACAGTAGAATCATCAGAACAAGTGACTGAAATAGTCTGGGCTCCAAGGGCGAAATCCTGCTCTCTGAAGTCAAATCGAGCAATACACATGCAATTCTGAGCAAAATTTGGCGCATTAGCTGAAGTAATTGAATGAAGGAGAGCTGCAGTATAGAAGTGTTTTCCACCTCCCTCATCATAAAAGCACAGACTATCCTGGAAGTTTGCACACATAGCTTGCTACCTCTACACGGTGTGTCCTACAAAATGGTGAAAATAATCTCTCTTGATATCTGGGTATAAAGTCACTGGGAAACAAGTTCAAGGATGGGGAAACTGAGGAATACTCCAAGGATATTAGGACAGAAAGCCTCCTTGTAGTCCACTCTTTCTCTCCCCCTTCCTTGTGGCATGGGAGCTCACCGAAAACAATCCAGGAGTAAAGACAAATGCGTCCAAACCATACATATAAAAATAATAATAATAACAACAACAACAATAACCATAATAATAATAGAGATACACCAGTAATACAGGCCTGCCTAAATTGTACCAGTTAAGAAAGGAACCCCCAACACGATTGATACGATTATAAACACCTTGTATGACATAATGGCCTGTACAACAGACCTATAAAATGATAATTAAAAAAAAAGATATTTAGACCAAAAGAACTAAGAAACCCCCTCCTATGTTTGAGTTGATAACCCACCTTAACTTGTCATTGTGACTGCTGGAAATGATAAGTAGTCCTTTCACTTTTTTTTTTGTTTTTTTGTTTTTTTACATTTTTGGTTAGAAAGCTCTCCGATCCATGAAGCGATCCTGAAAAGACAGTGTTTATTATAAAATTAGGCAAATGTCTGTCCCAGCTTTAAATCCTTCCTGTTTTGTTTTCTACATTTTTCCTTCTCTCCCTTGTCCCCAGCAACATGGCGAGAGGAAGCCGATCACATTTTTCAGTTTATAAACCCAGCTGGCAGCCAATCCCACTGCAGAGTGAAACAGGCTGGTGGTAGCACAGCTCAGCCCGGCTCACTGTGCCTTGGAGGCAGTAGTGGTGGTGGATGTGGCCCCACTGGCAGAGGCCACTGTGAAGAGAGAGTTCTGGATCGACTCAGCTGAGGTGGAGGTGGCATGAAGGCTGGCGACTGGTCCAGAGGCCCCTGCGGAGGCTGCAGCTGCAGAGACCAAGCTAACCGGGTTGCTGGTGAGCAGAGAAAGGTTCTGAGGGTTCAGAAACAACGGGGCAGTAACGATGTTGGGAGTACCTCCAGCATTGGCAAATACCAAGTTCCCAGTTGCATCCAGTGATGTTATTGGAAGAGAGCCACCAGATGCAAGAGCTAGAATAGAGAAAGGGGCAGGGAAGAGAACATTAGTATTAACAGCACAGAGGAATGCAGTAAAGTGTAACAGAACTTTACTTTTTTCTCCTATGAGCATAGCTTTCTTCCCACAAGTAAAGATTCCTTTCCCTTACGTCAATCCAGCATAAAATAGATTCACAAAATCAGGTGAAAATGGGATTTGGCACTATCGAAGCTGGCAGAGCTAAGCACATAAGAGGGAGGATCCTCTCATGATCCCAAAGATTAGACAAGGGTCAAAAATAAGTTTTTGCTATTCGTTTTTACCTACACCTCTCTAATACACTTCTCTGTATATAAGGAATATTGAGTTTGTTTTAACAAGATATGGCACAGAAAATAAAAGATGATATAAAATAACAATTTCAATGCATTACATAGTGTATACTCCTAATTAATTTTCAAATTATTTGCAAAAATAACTGCTTTTATCTGTTGCTAGAAAATCAGTATCGGTTCTTCAATAATTGTATGTTGTCACCTAATGCAGTTAAATAAAAAGCATTTGGCATGATTCAACCATGTAGTACCTAATGTCTTTAGAGCATCAATTCACCCCACCCACAAAGGCTCAGCAACTGAAGCTAAGCACAAGCTGTTTTAAATTACTATAAAAATATAAAGTTTTTATCTAAAATAAAAAGTAAAGGCATCTCTCTGAATATTTTCAACCCCCTCCCCCCCCCGAAATATAGACCCAAGCCCATGTGACTGTTCTCAATTTCCCATGTGAATGGACACAAAGCATCAGCACAGAATGAGATGCCTGGCACCAGGGAAATTGTCCTCTACTGTTCTGTCACCCTCTAACAGGAGCTAGTGCTTGTTGAGAGAAAGTTCCCTGAGAGCAGTGGCTAAGATTTTGCAGGGCTTGTCTTCACTACGCAGTGGATTGACACTGCAGTGATCAATCTAGTGGCGGCTGATTTATTGCGTCAAATCAATCTCCCAGCATTCCCCCATTGACTCCAGTACTCCACCAGCACAAGAAGTGTAGCCAGAGTCAACAGGAGAACAGCCCCTGCGGACCTTCTCGCACAGAAGACACCATGGTAAGTAAGTTGCGTAGATTATTTCAACAGGGGTGTTAGTGTAGATAAGCAGAAACTGAAATGGCTTTAGAGACTGATCGAAAACCAAATGCAACTAAAGGGAGTTTTTCCATGGACTTCTATGTGATTTGGATCAGGACTTAAATGGTGACACACTGTTCCGTCCTACAGGCCAAAGAAAGACTTACACTCAAGGGATCTAGAAGCAAAAGGGGAAGAAACATGCATTCACAAAGAATGGGAGCCACTACAATATTAAGATCAATTAACTTGTTTGAGTAAAGCCTTTTAAAATTTTGATGTGCTTTAATAGTTACAAACTACCTCAACAAATCTAACCAAGATTCATTTTGCCATGAGATCTACCCTCAAAGTATCAGATTCTTCTTTTGCTCTTTGTGAACTTATTTTTTTAATCGAATAGCTAAATTTAATTTATAAATAAATGGCATAATTATCAGATGTGATGATAAGTACCCAAATGGTTCTCACTGAAGTCACCAAAAAAATCAGGCCACTTATTTAGACGTTGAAATAAGAAAACAACTCCTTATTTAGGAGCTGTCAATCCAGAACATAAGGACTTTTGGTACACATTTTTGAAAGTCTTGATCTTGGATCTTTGTGTTCAGGCTTCTTGTTCTGTGAACTGTTCTGCTATCGGCTTTGATCAAGGCAACTATACTGAAACTTCTGCTAGATCAGTTGTAAAAAGTAGATCGCTAAGCAACCTGCTACAAATTGTACCTCAAGGACCACTGAGGGAGGGGAGCAATATTAATGCAGGGCCCTCCAGCATCACATTCTTCCTTAACTTCACCTCCAAGTCACTGAGATTGTAGACTGTTCTAACTCACTTTCAAGTTTGTATCTTACCATTCAAAATTCTATGATGGATTTAAAAAAAATCTGTTGTGTCTTTCTTGTAAAGCTTCTGTTCCTGAATATGGAATTTTGGTGTTGAGGAATGTTGCCTTGTTTGGTGAATAAAACATACAAGTAACAAAGCCAGTTACATATTACAAGGAACTAGGGAGCTGTGCCCACTGCTTTCTATGATCGTCAATCCCCCTCTCTCCGGCGGCTTTCGTGGCCAGCGAGCGTGAGGATGTCATTCTGTCGCCTTGTAACAAAAACTTGTTTATATATAGACAGAGATTTTACTGACCTTGAATAGTTGCCAGTGTACTGTTGCTCATGAGAGCTGGGCTGAGAGCACCGCCTAGTGTCCCTGGATTGAGACTGAGTAAGGCACCTCTGTGATACCAGGAAAACAGGAGAAGAGACAGATCAAGGGAGGTTGTGTTACTATTCAGAGACCATCATACAGAGAACGAAAGTAGAATTTAAGGATCTGATTTTTTTTAAAAAAATTCTTGTAATATTTTAATTTCTCCCATACCACAATGTGGTCTTGGATGAGTCCTCACAGCTGCCTTTCAATACTATACTTAACAAGCCTTAAGAACAGGCCCCCAAAAAGCACAAGTTGTACTGTTTTAATACTGTGAATTACACTCCAAGTGACTTCTTGGGACGCTGCAACTCTTTAGAGAGCTATCAGAAGGAAATGACTACAAAGAGAAACTGAAAGAACTACAAAGCAACATTTACAGCAATGGTTTTGGTCACACAGCATCAACAGAATGATTTCCAATAAATATTCAGGTGCTCTTCATCTTGCTCTGGGTCCCAAGGAACAGAACCAAACACAAGGGAATCTAAGATGCCAATTCAATTCAAAATTAGCAGCTTGGGTAGTATAGTTTGTGGCTACAACAAGGAAATAGTAGTCAGAGCACTGGCTCTCTGCCCAGCTTAGCCACTGACTTTATTAGTGACTTGATCAGTCATGCCTTTCAGCTTTCTCATCTGTAAAACAGGGATAACACCCTTATAGGGGAGTTGCAAGGCATACCCCATTATTACTTGTAAACACTTTGAGAAGTGTAGGTAAAAGATGCTGTAAGTGCAAAACATAGTATTAAAAATGATGATGAATACAGCCCATGTAAATAATTCCATGTTTCTTCATGTCTCATCTGAAATGCAGAGACAATTCTTACCCAGCTGCAAACTGTGAGGGTGCCATCAAGCCTGGATTTAGTCCTGCTGCAGCAGCCATGGCAGCAAGACTTGCATTTGCAGGCAGCTGCGCAGCTCCTTGTAGTGCGGCTGCTGCCGCTGTTTGCAACCCTGATGCTGTCACCATCACTTGGCTGGTCCCAAGAGGGGAGGACAAAGGAGTAGAGGTTGTCTGTGTTGTGCTGGTCTCACTGGCACTGGATGCCTCGGAAGTGGAGGCTGAGGCAGAAGGGGAAGGACTCAGAGAGGGTGAAGTCACTGCTGAGGAAGCTGGAGGAGCTGTAGAGATCACGGTTGCTGTATTGTTGGTGGTGGTTTCTGTTGTGCCTGCAGGGAGGGTTCCCATTAGAACAGTACAAGGCACAGGCATGCCTGAATAAAAACATCTACCACCTAGACCGAACAGCACAGAAAGGAGGAAGTGAGACAGACATGTCTCTGTGGGACTGAAGGGCACAGTGAATTCAAGAGAGAGGGACTGGTGAGCATGGATCTTCAATCACAATCAAACTGTCTCTTCAGGAGTTTGGGGAGCTGAGGCTGGTAATGGGAGCGCCTTTCACGTCTAGGTCACAGGCAGTTGCCAGTCTCAGCAGAGGCGCCACATTTAACAGTCATGAAAAATTAGTTACTCCAACATGAGACTGAGGCACATTGGCAGGGCAGTATAAAGGAATCTTACATGGCAGCTGTCTACCCTGTCGTTTCTGTGGCAGAAATGGAGGACTTTGCTCTCTAGAACTATCATTCCAGAGTCTTTCATCAGCACTTGACCGCTTTTTAATTTAAAATGTTTAAAAGGGCAAGGTGGGAGTGAAATGAGAGGAAGAAATCAGACCGAAATCAAATGGAATATCTGGGCAGAGAGAAGGAAATTCCTCTATATTGTTTCTTTGCACCTATATTCCTAAGCTGTATTTCTATGAGCTCCCAGAGAATCCTTTATGTCCCACAAAGGCTCCATTTGTTTTCTATTTTTCACCTTCAGCTAGGCAGGTTATGGATTTCTGAGACTCCTACACAACATGTCTTACAAGGATACAGCAAATCCAAGAGTCAGTGCTCTATGGAGATTTGTCAGGAGAATCCAAAGGATCCTAACATCTGCCAAATGTTAAACTGCAACACAGGAGAGCCAGAAATCTCACAAAATATTATGAATCTTTAAAATCTTTATCTGTTTGATATGCAGACACCACTGGAATTCCATGCTATAATTTGAACTGGTTATCCTGACTGAAGAGGTTTTCTGAAAAACTTGCTGTGCTGATGCAGCCAGACTTGTATCTTACCTGTGACTGACAGATTAGTTACAGCCGCACTAGTTAGAGGGAGCACAGGGTTGACAGTCAAGGTAGTAGCTGCACTGCTTGTCACCAGGCTTGGCGTGGTTGCCACCTAGAGGTCAGAAGAGAACATGACTGCTCAACTCCTAAAAAGGAAATGTTACCCAATTTGGGTTCTTGTATCCTCATTCTCAACCGAAAATGATGATGAGAAATGCTACACAATTTTTAAAATTTGCATCAATTGCTTTTGTGCTTCAACCACCAAAGAGCCTGGCACTATAATAGAGACACCTGCTCCCTGCAGGGACCTGTGAACGAATAGCAGCAAACCCCCACACTTATACAGTCTCAAAGCTATTAAATAGCTGCATGGTGGTATTATATCAGAAATTAATAATCAACAGTCAATCTCTCAGGATTTTCAAATATCCTTATTCAATGAAAGGCAAGCTTTCAAGGAGACCTTACCAGAGAGAAGAAACTTAAGGAACACCAAAAATCATTTTACAGTAAACTTCCGATAATCCGGCACCTTTAGGACCCAGGGGGTGCCGGATTATCAGATATGCCGGACTATCGGAAGGGGGGGCTATGAGGGGTCTGGGGTGTGGTGGGGGGATGCCACCTCAGACCTCTCATAGCCCCCCCTTCCGATAGTCCGGCACAAATCAGGCTAGGATGCAGTGGTATGTTGAAGGGCTTTAATAAGAAATAAATTTGAGCTTGAGAAGAGTAAGAAAAAGCGAGTACAGTAAAGCTCCGATGGTCCAGCATCTGATGGTCCGGCACCATCAGGAACCCGGAAATGCTCCCGGCAGCCGGACCATTAGAGCTGCTCTGCTCCCAGCTGTCCCCGATTCAGCTGCTGCTGAAACTGACCAGCGGCTGACTCCAGGAAGCCCGAGGCAGAGCTGCTCTGTCCCGGGCTTCCCGGAGTCAGACGCTGGTCAGTTTCAACAGCAGCTGAATCCGGACACCTGGGACAGAGCAGCTGGGGCGCTGCCGGGTTGGTCCCTGCAGCGCCGCACCTTGGCGCTGCGGGGACCAACCCGGCAGCACTCCAGCTGCTCTGTCCCAGGTGTACCCAAGTCAGCCGCTGCTGAAACTGATCAGGGGCTGATTTCAGGAAGCCGGGACAGAGCAGCTCTGCCTCGGGCTTCCTGGAGTCAGCCGCTGGTCAGTTTCAGCAGCAGCTGAATCGGGGACAGCTGGGAGCAGAGCAGCTCTAATGGTCCGGCTGCCGGGAGCATTTCCGGGTTCCTGATGGTGCCGGACCATCAGATGCTGGACCATCGGAGCTTTACTGTACTCGCTTTTTCTTACTCTTCTCAAGCTCAAATTTATTTCTTATTAAAGCCCTTCAACATACCACTGCATCCTAGCCTGATTTGTCATGTAGGTGTTTTACCACTGTTAAATGTAGTGTCTTGTTTCACATTTATCAACTAAAATATCTGAACTTCATTTGTGTGTTTCCTTTGTTTGAAAGATCTTTTTCAGAGCATTCAAATGAAATGAACTACCTTTACTTCTGGACAACTTAAATGGAAGGAATTTATACATAAATTGAGGGAAATTCAGAAAAAGTATCAACCAATGGGATTAATGGGCTGGAGGAAATTATTTATTAGAAAAGGCAACGACTAGAAGTGTTATGTGTGTGCATGCAAGGCATGCTGGTTGTCTGTAAGTAAATGAAAGATATATACATCAGGAAGGAAAGTAATCAGTTACACTCTCTTGGACAACCCAAAATAAGAATAATCAGGAAATCTTTCTCTTGGGGAGATCTGTATGACAGCTGAATAGTCTCTTAAAGGAAGTGATAATCTCTGTTTCATGACATGTTTACAACTAGGTTGGAAAAGAACATAGGCCTGGTAGCATTTTGCTCTAACATTCTACAAAACAATCTGCAGCACATCACCTCATCAGCACAGGCTACTGTGATTACATCAAACCTGTCCACTATTCTCTACACTGGATTTCCGTAGAACACAGAATCATGTTCAATGTCATGGTCCTTTTATCTTAAAGGCTTCAATGGCCTGGGCCTGATGCATGTTAAATAGAACTTGAAGCTGACAAATGAGAGTAGGTACATTTATTCGTCAGGCATACTGCAAGGTAAACCTCGTGGCTACAGGAAAGATTTTTCTCAAGCACTTGTTCAAGACTATGGAATGAATTCCCACAGGAACTAAAAATCATCAGAAACCTCATCACCTTCTCAACTTTGCTTTCTCTAACAAATACATAGAAACGTGTTAAAAAACAGAAGAAAACCCCTTCTAAACCAAACACTATACTGCACACACGATTTCTTTGCTGAGGAGAGGACAACAGAAAGAACAAACCAAGCATGACAGTAGTTAAATCATGACACTTAATACACTACTGGATGATGCTCAGACACCACAGTGATGAGGGCAGCATAAAATCTTATATAGAATAGATTAGCCTACAGGCTACATGAAATCCACAAAGACTTCATAATATCAGGAGCATAGGTACAGGTAACGACAGACCTTTCATAACAATAGCTCAAGGAACCTCAAGAAAATAACAGAGCTCAAGGAACCTTGATGAATGTAGGAATGTGAATGGTTATGGTTAACCAGCGGGGCCTGGAGCAGCTCCTTGCTCACTATGGGCAGGGGAAGTGATCTTGATCTGAGGAAGTAGGTCTGGCCCACGAAAGCTCATCATCTAATAAACCATCTTGTTAGTCTTTAAAGTGCTACATTGTCCTGCATTTTTCTTCAGCTACCCCAGACTAACACGGCTACATCTCTATCACTATTCTATGGGCAGGGGGCTACTCCAGTTCTGCAGGGTCTGCTGCAGGCAGGGGGAGTTCCAGCCCAGCTGGAGCAGCCCATGTCCGTGGCAGACCCAGTCCAGGTACCTTGTGGAAGCCCCCAACCATGGCAGGCCCAGCTCAGGTGTACTGAAAGCAGCCCCTGTACACAACACGCTGGGGCTGAGCCTGCCATAGATTGGGGCTGAGCCTGCCATAGATTGGGGCTGCTTCAGCCTACTCCCCGTTTAATTGGTTAAATGGTTACACGTAATGCTTAACTATTTAAACAGGGTTTTACATTCCTAATGAATACACTTTGTTACTTATGTTTTCAGTAAGTTTATATTTACCTTAGCCAAATTGAAGGTTTGGAAAATGAGCTACAGAGATTAACTAAACTCTTTTTTCACTTTGATATACATTGACCCTGCTCAAAAGGGACAAAAATAGTATAATCAGGTTTGGTTGACTTTGTCTGCCAACTAACGCCTAACAACTGATAGGATTTACTGTTGACTTAATGCATTAAAGTAGCTAGAACAAGATGGAAAGGATGGCACTGGGGAGCATTTTTTCCTTTTACAGAAAGAATTTTGGATGAGTCAGCTGATCTGGAAAAAATTCAAACATGAATCATGATCTCTTAGCATATGTCCAAAGCAGTGACATAAGCTGCATATTTATAGATTGTATTCAGTGAACCTTGAATTACTGCCAGCTCAAATTAGCTGTTCATTTTGGGTATTTAAATAATGAATTCCCACTAGCTAATTTGTAATCTCTACCTTTTTTTTTTTAAATAGTAGACAGTGGGAACCAGTAAATATAGTAATGAAAATTCCAATTAAGTATCTCAGTTAAAATTGTGAGCATAAGTCTGCTGCACAGTGCAGATGAAAAATGTATGCAATTCCCGTTACTGCTAGGAGAGGAGTATCTGAACTTTTCCAAGATACTTCATTTCTGGATTCTTACCAGTGAGGTTGGGCAAGGGAAAATTGCTTTGATAGGAGAGCTGCTGGTTCCACTACTGGGTGGGTTGATCCTTTTCTCCTTCTGGCGTCGGTTACAGAACCAAACACGGATCACCTCCTTCTCCATATTCAGCTGGTCAGCTATCATGGTGATCTCCTCCGAGGTAGGCTTTTGGTTCTGAAAAAGAAATATTTGAATATTATGGAAATTACTTGGATGAGTGCTGCATTATGGCTCCAGTATAGCAGGATTCTAAACTAAAGAACTGGAGGAAGGAACAACATACAGATGTAAAAAGCCTTCCCATTTTAACAAAGATGATGTTGTCAGGAATAGATTTAAAAAGGATTGGACCTGATGGACCAATGCTGAGGGGGAGGGAGAAGCAGAGCCTCGGGGGCCAGAGCCAGGTAAGCCGGAGGCCGTATCCAGCTCCCAGGCCTGAGTTTTCTCCAACCTGTGCTAGAGGGTTACGTATACCCTGTTACAGAAATGTAACTGTTTTGCAGAACAGTCTTTCACAACTCACCACAGATTTCCCCACCCTCTGAAAGCAGCAACTTACCCACAACACACAGGCTGCCTGCAAATGTATGAACACACGGATCAACACAGTGAAATGTATCAGCACATGCACACATCAACAAACTTATATTGTGCTTTTTAGTTGAGGATCTCATGGGATTTTACAAACCTTGTTTTATATCTGAGGAAACCGTAGAAGAGCAATTATATAATTTGCCTAACGCCATGGTGTCCAACACGCTAGCCACACGTGGCTATTTGGCCGCTTGAGTGGGGCTTGTTGGCGTGAACAATGTGGCTATTTGGCTGGTTGAGAATGGCTAGTTTGCTATAGCAGTAGCCACTATGGTGGCTATTGCTTCAGAGCTGGACACCATGGGCCTACGGTGTCAAAGCAAATCAGGGACAGAACATGAGGGATGAGAACAGCAGACTTCTGACTCCTGATCCCCCATTCCAACAACCAGATGACAGACACAGACTGAAAACATACTAAATTTAAATATTTAATGTATAAAGTATTTAATGTGAATCTTAAATATATTTTTATTCTATATCTACAATGATCACTGTATATCTTACAATGTCTGCTGAGTGCAGCTCCTAGCTGTAGAATTTTTTTCACCTTAATGGACATATTCTTTAGTAAAGCCACTATTTACTACAAATTAGCTGAGCAAAGCATCTGATTCACTGACCTCCAGAAAACTCTTCTCTAAGGCCACACGTATGTTGGTCTCTATGCTGGTGCGTTTCTTCCTCCTACGGTTCAAGCCCTCAATACCCAGCCCTGGGGAATTCAGGGCACTTGGGCTGGAGAGAGCTGAATCAGATGAGAGATTTTCTGAAAGAGAACAGAAGACAGCATGTATCAGCAAGAGATGCTGTGTCAGTGCACTTCAATCCAATTAAAGGATCCCACCCATGTAAGACATGACAGAACGTACCCCATATTCATTCCAGATATGGATAGGCTCCTTCACAGCAGATGTATTAAGCTGGTATGACCACTTACACTTGCAATTTACAAGCTATCAGAAGGGTTCAGTGTCTTATGACAAACAAGAAATGCTCTTCACCCTGTGCAGTATCTGGGGTTCTTCAAAATATGTTCCTCTATGGGGGCTCCACTTTAGGTGTGAGAGAGCCACCCACACCTTCTATTAAAGAGTTCTAATAGCAGCATCTATTCAGCCCATGCTTGCATAACAGTCAGTCTTCTGCCCTGCTCCATCATTGTATAGCAGTGTGCAAGTGTACTGTCCTCAGTTCCTTCTCTACCATGAAGCTCAATAGTAGAGAACTCTGAAGCAGAGGGTAAGAAAGGCAGATGGTGGAGCACTCACAAAGGACATTTAAAAAACCCACTGTTATTGAACAGGGTGAGTAACCCATTTATTATTCTTCAAGTAGTGTCCCTAAGGGTGCATCACTGTAGGTGATTATTAAGCAATGCACTCTAAGGTAGCAGGGGCTTCAGGGTTGAATCCCAGTATAGCAGAGAGTGAGACTGAAGGTAAGGAGTGCTGCGAAGAATGATCAGAGAACATGGGAAGGTAGCTACAGGAAGTAAGAATACCATGTTTTCCTGGGCTAGAGAAATTATCAGGATGATTCTGATCCTGTCTCTCTCTACTTAGAGCACTTTCTTTGCTATTAGGTGAGTCCAAGGCATACAGTAAGGCTGACAGGTATTGTCTCTCAACTTCAGGGATTAAGGACTGATGACCCAGTCCACACTTTGAGCAGAAGTGGGTGCATTTTTTGTTTGCCTCTGTGACAAAAAGATCTATGCGGGGGGGGGGGGGGGGGGGGGGGGGGGGGCGGTGGGGAATATTTGGGATCTTCCCCCCCCCATGCTTTTAGAAGAATGAATGCATTTTGCAGTCACACTCTGGATACCCAACAATGTGACAACAATGTGGGTTTGTATGCATCAATTCCAAAAGTTTGAGTGCCTGCGAATCAAGGGAGAGAGATCTGGCTCCTCCCTGGCAGTTGATGAAAAACTTACACGATATATTGTTCATCACAATTTTTATGTCCTTTCCTTTTCTTAGTGGCAGGAATTAGAGACAAGGATATCTGAACAACCTGAGTTCTAGGAGACTAATGGGTAGTGTCGTCTCCTGCAATGTCCACTTGTCTTGATCATATAAACATCTAGGTGCACTCTAGCAGAGAGATGTCCATCGTTATAACAACTGCAGGAGAAAGGACATGACTGGAACTCCTGTGCACACCATGTGATGGTTCTTCCGCCAATCAAGATTTATTTCATGAAGGTAGGTACATAAAGGAACGTATGTAGACTGTGTATGGTGGGTAAATAAATGGTTTTGGGTCACCCTTGGAAGCAGCACATTTGAAGTCAGATGTGCTTTGTTGCAAAGGTCGTGGTTCTATGTGATCAAGTAATTGAATGCAGCTCTTGACCATGGTTTGTGGACTGAGTTGAATCATGTAAGCTACATAGGACAGGGTCATGAACCTCTACTGAGTAAGGTAGATTCTTGTGTCACTGAAATGAGATGTGTCCCTATGAACTAAAGGCTCTACACTGGGCTTAATGTGGATTTCTGTATATTCAATTGTAGACCTAATTGAAGGGAAAGGTCTATGGCCTTGGAAGTTACCCAAAATGTCATATCTACAGAGAAGTCTTTTAGCAATCAATTATCCAGGCAAGGGAATATTAAAATACTCCCTTGAAGTATTACAACTTCAGTTGAAGCTTCTGGAAAGGAATCTCTGAGGACAGCCTTGGACCGAGACTTATGAAAGTGAGGTGAGGTCTTCAACAGAATCCTCTTTCTCTGATGCATTCAAGAACAACAGTATGCCTAGACAAAACTGAAGTGAAATAATTTGTACCAGGAACTCAGGTGATCTGGATGACCTCAACATTGAGAGCACATCAGAGACAAAAAGGTGTGAGCAGGCAGTCTCCAATATAGGCAGGTACTTAGGAACATGGAACTCCTGAAGTACTGTGAAGAACATCAGTACTGAGGCTTACAAGTGTAGTGCAATAGTTGTGTCTGGGGGTGCTGCCAGAACTGCAGACTTTGATTGTGCAAAGTGCTGCATGCGGTCTGAGAGAGATGCATTTAGGGCCCAAGTGGACTTCTTCAGTACAGGCAGTCCCCGAGCAACTCTGCCTCGGGCTTCCTGTAGTCAGCCGCTGGTCAGTTTCAGCAGCGGCTGAATCTGGACGCCAGTTCCGACTTACATACAGATTCAACTTAAGAACAAATCTAGTCCCTATCTGTACAGAAAGAACTCTTATTCCTGCCTTTATCTGACTCTAGTACTGAGGATGTCTCTTGAGGTTGAAGCCTTGCTGTCACACAGGCTATCTGTGCTTTGGTTACCAAAGGGATCGTTGTCAAGTACCTAACTGGAAAGCCAGTGGTGCAGGGGTAGCTAAGAGAAGAAACAACCTGGACTTTTTAGAGGTACACTCTCTACCTAAGGTATACTCCTTCAAGAGATTGTGAGAGGAGTCCTGTATCTTCCTCTTGGGCATTCTGGAAGTGTGGTGTTCTGAGGCAGCAGACTTACCTGGGGACTGGTGTACAGTGTGGGCCCATTAACCTGAATCAGGGACCGGACATATAGAGCTCCCCATCATAAGGGAATACAGATTAATTTCTCTTTTTTTCCTGGCTCTTAATTTTAATGCCAGGCAAAAGTTACACTCCGCAATACACCACATTCATCATGAATGTCTATCACGAACCAGAATTGCCTCCTGGCATGATTAAAGCCCAGAGAATCAGGTATCACTAAGGAGACAGAAAATTTCTAACTATCTAAAACTCATCTAAATAGAGCACAAAGAGATTTAAGAAAAGGAAGAAGCTAGAATAAAGGAAATGATTGACTATGATGAAGAAACACTATTATTATTTATATAACCACTAAATAACAATAAGGTTGAGATGTGAAGGGACAACTACTAGAGGCTAGTCTCAGTCTGAGGTGGGGGAAAAGGAACTGAGGATTGTTTGCCTCATGCACTTACATTACAGAACAGGGCACAAAACTAATACACATGTGGACCAAACAGATACTACTGTGAAAAATCTCCAACTGAAGGCACATGTGGTTCTATTACATCCATACGTACACTGCTTGAAGGAACCTACGTTCCAGAGCAATGTTAAGTCATTGCATCTCCATGAAACACCCATCCCTCATGATTTAAACACACATTACTCTGGCAAAGTTAAAATGTTCACTGATGTACAATTCATCAACGATAATTCTTGCTCATTATGGATTTTTTCACTATACCCCAGACAGCCAAGCTCAATGAGCTTGAGCGCCTGTCTGAGCAGCCTAGCACAGAATTTCTTTCTCCTGCTCCACATTTGCCTGGCAATGAGGGAGATAAATTGCTTCAGTGACTCATCCTCTCAGCTACCAAAGTGTTGGCTGATGCTATAGTCTCTAGACAGCCCAGATAGCCACCACACACTTCTGATTATCTCCTCCCCTCACTGAAAGCTAGATTTGAGTTCTGACTAGCTGAATGCCCTGCCTTCTGCCTGGTTCTACAGAACAGTGAAGGAAGCATGCACTGTTATCCAGTTAATTCTCCTTTGTGGGAAAGGGTGCAGAAGAAGACGCAGCTAAAGGCAGGTCACAGAAGGACAGGGCAGATAGGAAGCTAAATGCCAGAATAAACAAACAATGAATTCAGCTGCAGAAACATGGAGTCCACATGCCCTGAATGAGATGAAATGGGCAGATCACACCACTCAGAACCACTGTTGCAGTCCTGAATGGACATCAGTTACCTTCCATTCATGTTTTCAAGATTATCTTTGCAATCATGAGGGCCAGAAACTTACATTTAAAAAAAAAAAAAAAAGAAAGCTGAAATCCTGGACACCATTTTAAAGCATAATGTACAATCATATAATACATAGGACCCTTCTATGTATTTCTATGTATATTGAATTCAATGGAAATCTTTGAACTGACTTGAACTGTATCTGGATAAACTTCTAATGTAAAGGTTCACCATTTTTTTGCTGGCACAACCCCATTTTAATGAAGTATTCCCTGACGGGACACACCTATGGAAAACACCATTTTGTAGAGCAAAACTGTGTCCTCCACATAGCCTGATCTCGTATGGATAGAGCGCATGAGGTCACATTATACAGAGGATGCAGTTTTGTAGAGCAAAATGGTGTTCTTTACACACTGAGATCTTGCATGCACCATATGTGTGAGGTCACACTCTGTGGAGCAAATTGGCATCATCTGTACACTAGGGCTATGTCTACACTGCCCGCTCTTGGGCAAAAAAATATGCAAATGAGGCGAAGCATGGAATATCACATAATTAGTTAGGCTCCATTTTTGCGCGAGAAGCTTTTACGCAAAAAGAAGCCATCTACATGGCTCCTTTTTGCTCAAAACCCCCCTCCTGAGCAAGAGCTGTTCTTCCACTTTTTTTTTTTTAGGAAGAACGGCTCTTGCACAAGAGGGGGGTTTTGCGCAAAAAGGAGCCGTGTAGATGGCTTCTTTTTGCATAAAAGCCTCTCACGCAAAAATGGAGCCACATTATTTATGCAAATGAAGTGTGGTGATATTCCATGCTTTGCCTCATTTGCATATTTTTTGCACAAAAGAGGGCAGTGTAGACATAGCGTAGGGATTGTTGCAATCCCATCTGCTGGTGGTGCTACCTCATATCTGGTATATAATCCAGTTTGGGAACTGCTGCCAAACGGGCTTGGAGTACCCTCAGGGAAATCTCGGTGTAAGATGCTTCAGGACCAACCATAAACTTGTTGCTGATATTTCTCTGTTGGCCAAGCAAAGCGAGGCCCTACATTTTTTACATGATATTTTTGTTTGTCATGCAATAACTGTTAAACACCATATTAAATCAATTCCAAAATTTCAAGAAACATTCTAGTCAATTTTTGGTGAAAATTGGAAAACCAGGAGGAAATAGGGGATCTCTCAGCTTCAACCAGGTCTATTATTGTCTACACATTAAAGAACTAGTTGATGGTGGCCATTAACAATATCAAAAATAATAATGGCCCCATTTCAGATCTCCTCACTGTCTCAAAGTTCAAAATGTCAATATCCTGAATGACTTATCTCCCATATAAAAAGAAAAGAAAAAATTGTATTTAGCGGATTGGAACATGGGGGTGGGTGAGGAGAACACTGGGCCCTTTGTAAGAAGTGAAGTGAGGGGCACAGAATATACAGCATAGCAAGGAGCCTGACATACCAGAAGCTTATGGAGGGGCTGGACAAATCTATAGAAATGTAGGTTTGTGCAGTGACCTGGCCTACACTAGCTATGAAGCGTGCAGCCCTCCTTACCCAACTGGGAAAGGAATGTAGAGGATATATGGTGTGTGTGCACGCACGCACGCACACACACAGAGAGAGAAAACATGCAGTGTAACATGCAGTGTACTCCTTCCTCATACCAGCCAGTGCTTCCACTAACAGTAGAGCACATATCTAAAAGCCAGATGGAAATAGCTTCAGAGACCTGTGGACCCATGAAGTGGTTACTGATGCTCTTGAATTGCTTATCCTAAGAAGATATACGGAAGTTTGATGAGTTTTGCAACAAGTAACTTAAGACACAAACCAAACAGAAGAGTAAAGCAGTTTTCAGAAGCCCACTGGATTTGTCCACAGACTCGTTCACCTGCATCATTGAGCCACTTTTCCAGAAGTGGCTTTAACTTGCACATGTTCTTAAAGCTGAGGTTCAAGGCTTCAAAGCGAGAGATGGTAGTTTGGCTGAAGTCATTTCCATAGAGTTTGCCCATTGCGAGCCCAACATCACCCTGCAGAGAAAGAGGGATTCATTAACATATGACTCTATGTTACAGAAGTCTCTTCTATTGCACAGAGGACACAATGCTCTAAGACAAACACAATCGTGGGTCCTTTTGGTGACCTGCCCCCTGCTTCCACCTCAGGCTTCTGATTCACAGAAACTTACTCAGTGCTATAGATTCAGGCGAAACCAGATAATGATGAAAAACATTCAGTCTTTCCAAGTCTCACCCTCTTTAATCTGAACTCTTTTCAGGATCTCTCAAGTGTCTTTGGCTTGGTCTCCACATTATAACTGAATACCACATCCCACGAAATATTAATTCAAGCAATTATAGCAAACAATATAACTCATGGAAACAGAACTGAAGATGAATCTACTTAACATCAAAGAAGAGATGTTCAAATAAAAGAATTTGTAAATACTAATTATTTGAGTGTAACAATTCAATGTATCTTTCTGGAGATGGTGAAAGGATCCCATAAGTCAAGGTGCTCATCTGAGCGTATACTGGATTTTATCTTTTGAAGTTCAAACTGAACCTCTCCAGCAGATCTGTTTCAGAAGCAGAAGAAAAGTTAAACTATTCACAATTGTCAATTATTCCATCAACATCATGTATCTGTCCAAACAGAAGTCAGGAAATGTATAGCCAACCAGATCACCATCATCAATATATCTAGGGTTATTACTTTTCCAAACTCAGGTTTTTGTCTCTGTATCAAACATTCTACTTGCACCAGCATTTATACATACATATATTTCAAAGTTTTTTATACACAAGGGTGGGCTCTTAACAAATTCAACTTGTCATAAAGAATATGGGATGCAACGTCACAGTTTGTTTACTGCAGCAGTGGTGATGGTCACCAGAGCTCTGTGAGTAATAGAATCCAACATACAGCAGAGGAGAGGCGGTGTGACTTGGGATCTGAAGGTCTCCAGGAACATTACCACAAGAGTTTTAGCCTGTTTTTCCTCAATTTTTAGGTTTACTTTTAAATCCTGAGGAAATATTACATTTGGAGGGAATATGTATCTATCCAAAGCAGCGGAGACAGCATCTGTTGCTGCAGGAAAAAAGACCTGTGGCAAACATGGCAGGGTTCGAATCCCAGGATCCTGGGTATAAGACCATGAATTGAGCCATAAGACAAGAAAACTGAAGGTATACTCCTCATAAATACAAACTGCTAAATAACAGAAAAATAAATTAGTAGAAGAAGAAGAAAAAATAAGAGTTAACAAGCAGCTTAGCAAGTCTGACTCTGCAACAAACACTCTCAAACTGCGGGCAACTGAGAAGGCCCTGCAGTAGTTGTGACTATGCTCCCTCAAACAGCCTCATACTGGAGCAGAGGGGTATCTAGAAAGTCTCTAGAAAGCCCAGAAAGTCTCCAATCATGAGTGCACATGTAAGCACATACCCTAAAGTAGACCATAGGGACACTACTTAAAGAAGTAGTTATTCATTTCTTTGTGCACATTTTTTCCTCCGAAGAGAGTATCATTTCATTAGAGACATTACTGTGTGGGAACTAGCAAAGAGTCACTCATCACTGAAGTAGAGGATAAAGATACTTTGCAATGAGTTTAACCCACTTCATAGAATAACTGAATCCTCTTACAGTTCACACTTCATTACAATGCATCTCCATGCATTTGACAAAGTGGGTTTTTGCCTATGAAAGCTTATGCCCAAATAGATCTGTTAGTCTTTAAGGTGCTTCTGGGCTCCTTGTTTTTTTTTACTTCATTACAATAGCACCATTCGTGTCAGAAGACAGGTGACAAGAGAGAATATTCCATTTTTTTATTATATTACAAGATGTTATAAAACACCAAATCATAAGTTTCCACAGTAGGAACACATCTCAAATCAGTCAGTGAGGATGTAGGTCACATCTCGGATGAAATACTTTGTGTTTAAATGTGTTAAACAGGCAGCTATATATAAAGGAATTAAATTCTATAAATCCACAAAATTATTCTCTTTTGGACATTTAATTTCAAATCAAAATCAGATTAAATTACCCTAAAATGGAATGTAATAAGCCATTAGAGTACAATGCACCCTAGATCCTTGTAATTATTTTTGAAAAGACAAAAGTAAATCTGCTAAATTTGAAAATAACCTATTACTGTATGTCACTGGAAATTAATTTTCCTGTTACTCTTTGGAATGCATTCTAATTACGGGACCGCAGGAAACCTTAGTAATAAGATCTTTAATTACAACACAATTATGTAATTAGGTAATTGTTATTAAAACTGCCTAATTATGTATATTTACTCAAAGAAGAAGAATGGATTGATCTAGTAAATACAATGACATTTTGAACAATTTTTTTTTAAACAAAGGGGAATTTAATACAAAAAGCTGCCTTAGTATTATACTAGGATTGTGATACAGGCAGTCCCCGGGGTTACGTACAAGATAGGGACTGTAGGTTTGTTCTTAAGTTGAATCTGTATGTAAGTCGCAACTGGCGTCCAGATTCAGCCGCTGCTGAAACTGACCGCCAGTTCTGGCTTACATACAGAATCAACTTAAGAACCCCAGGCGTCCCCAAGTCAGCTGCTGCTGAAACTGATCAGCGCTGATTCCAGGAAGCCCAGGGCAGAGCAACTCTGCCTCGGGCTTCCTGTAGTCAGCCGCTGATCAGTTTCAACAGCGGCTGGATCTGG